ATTGTGAGGATTTTTCATAGAGCCAATGGTCGAAACACTGAATTTTGCACCTCGCGTTTCAAATGTCCATTTCACAAAAACTGGACCAGTTAGGATGCTCGTTTTTTTTGATTTTAAAGAGAAAAACCTTCTCGATAAACGCTGAGAATTTCAGATTTTAGCCGCAGTTGGGGAAATTGTAAGGATTTTCCATAGAGCCAATGGTCGAAACACTGAATTTTGCACCTCGCGATTCAAATGTATATTTCACAAAAACTGGACCAGTTAGGACGCCCATTTTTTCTTGATTTTAAAGAGAAAAACCTTGTCTATAGACGTTGAGAATTTGAGACTTTGGCCGGAGTTGGAAAAATTGTGGAGATTTTTCATAGAGCCAATGGTCGAAGCACTGCATTTTGCACCTCGCGTTTTTGTCGTTTCTAGCAGGCTGGAAGCGCATGGCATGGGAGTGGGTCTCCTGAACTTGACTCTGGTTTTAACTTTGTGCGTATATGAATGTGAATGTTTAATAAAATTTTTATTTATCTATTTATTTTTCTAATGTTTATTTTAGTATTGCTGTAAGTTCATAAAAATTCATGTTTTGAAAAACGTGCGATTTTATGGAGCCCTTAATAAAGAAAGAAAAATCAGTCTACCGATTTTTTCCTAATATACTCCTTCCTGTTAATTTTATATTCAAAAGTATAAACGGATCATGGGACAGACTAACTCTGACAGGTTAAAGCTCGTTCACAGGGTGACACTAATGCCGGGACAGTAGCCAGTGTCACGATATCGTATATGAAACCATTTTGATGTGACACTAACGTCGTGACACTGTGACCTTCAACTGTTAAAATAATGACACTGTTGTGGACGATATTAGCTGTCACGGATTTAATGTCACCGTGTGAACGAGCGTTTAGTCAACAAACGTCTGTGTAAACGCATAGTTGCTGTTATGTTTTTGTTGTTAATAATTGTTAACTTTTCGAAGCACCTAAAAATGTTTCTTGGGAATGTTACAACAGAAAAGATCAAGTTAGTCAAAGCAAAGTTAGAGAGATATTTGAAAAGTGTAAGATGTTAAAAAACAACAAGTAGCTCTGGAACTGTAAGATTTATTGCAATACAAGAACCATTATCAATTATTTAGTACAGTTGCCCATTTGAATGGCGATATGTGTTTTCGTATACCTTCTGTGGAACTGTCATTTATTTGTCCAATTTGGTCCAATTTATAAATAACAATGTAGATCTTCAAAAAACAGACATATTTTGACTCCTGAAAGATACACGTTCTTCCATTCTTGGGTGTTTTAAGCCGATGTTTAGTTAGTTACAGGTCATTTTTCTGTTCCCACCTTTCGGTACTTGTGAGATTTTTAAATTGTGTCATTAGTGAACCATTTCTTCACCTTCATCTTCACACGTAAAAATTATGGTAAATATTCGAACTCTCAACTTAAACAGTCCATAAGCAAGCAATCTTGCTAATACAACGTAAGTCATTACAGCTACAATTCCAGCACACACCAGTCCGGGATTTTGGTAGTCCAACATTTTATACAAATAATGCTGCCCAGTTAAGCTTTTCCCTCCAGATATATAATAAAAGAATGTAAAAATAAAGTACACAATGGTTAAAAGTACGGAATAAATGCCATGCGATAGGCGAACTGGAACTCTCACGATCATGAAGTCGATTAGTAGGATGATGGTATTCCACAGATGTAGGATACAGGAGCCAAGATGAAACGATTTATTCTGATAGAAATATACCAGGGTCCAAAAGCCACAACTCGTTGTAATTGTGGCGTCAAAGTTTAAAGCACTTAAAGCGTATTGTAACTTAAACCAAATTGGCAAATTCGTTTTTTTATCGCTTTGCTCTTCATTGTTTTCCTGTGATAGTTCTTCACACATCCTGAGAACGCTGACGATTAGGAACACAAGAGATGTAAGAGTGCTAATTAAGAAGCTCCAGTAAGTGTAATACAGAAATACACACACCTTAATATTATGGGGAACATTCCATGTAGCTCTCTCGGAGAAATAAAATATGGTGTAAAAATAGCCTGTATTGAAAAGGCGGTAAACAAGAAATGATAAGTCAAGTTTCTCACTCGTTTGCCATTGAGGCAAATAGAAGTCTAGAGGATTGCGATAGTTATAACACAAATCTTCTTTGTTAAACCAAGCGATAAAAAGGTTCATTTTTCGAATTGATTCGATTTACATATAAACTGTCGTCTGTCAGAATGACTTTGCCGAAATGGTGTTTAATTCAGGTGCACTAAAGAAAATTGAACAAATGATAATTCTAAAGAAGGGTTTAACATCTCAACCCATTCTTTTGCGACATCTAGGTGATCTACTTTGGCAACACTTTTGGAACAGACTTTGGCCACCCCGTTTTTGCATCTAATTTGAAATTTAGAGAAAAATGTTAAATGCAAAACTTGTAGATATTGACGTCTAGTTTATTTTAAGATAATATGGATTGATACAGGGTGTCTCAAATTAAAGTGGCAGACCAAACTTACCTTTCCTTAAATGGAATGCCGTACTTTTTATTGCATATTCGAACTATTCGCACAATTCTAGTCCTACTCGATATAAATGTTCCATAACGATTTTCAACTGTTTTTGAGTTAATAACCAATATTGATTGAACTTTGGCCACCCCATCTAATTTGAAATTTGGAGCAAAAAATCAAGTGACGGTCCAAATTTACACTAGTATCATATTTTCGATGCTTAGATACTTTTGAAGGGTCAGCTAATATGTTTTTTACACCAAGAGCAAAACTTGATATTTTTGAATTACAATAAAAGACGTGCCAAAGCGGAATATGCAGAAAGACTTAATTTACAGAGAGTTGTAAATTCATTTCTATTTAAGTATAAACAAGATAGACAGAATGTGTAATTTGGAAGCAAGCTGCGTGACATTCAGACAGATGAAAATTATGCCGATAATGAACTAAATGTTCTTCTATATTCTCTCTCTATGCTTATATTCTTCTATTTTCTAATTAAGTCAAATTTTCAAATGTCCAACGTGACCTCCGTTCATTTCGATACACTTCCGATATATCCTTTTCTGCCTTTCAATAGCAGCTAATATGGATCCTTGATTTACCGTATTTAAGCGTTCAACTTCCTCCATAATAATTGCCTTAATTCTGTCGATGGTTAAATTAATTTCTCCGGCAAACTTTCCTTTTAAATAACCCCACAAAAAGTTATCCATTATAGTTAGATCAGGGCTATTTGGCGGCCAATGGATAGTCTCAAATCTGCCCATCCATTCGGGAAATTGTTCATTACGGTATTTCGTTACCTGAGCAATGTTACGCAAGGAGCACGGTCTTGTTGCCATATCACGTTGTCGTCCTCTAGGTTGTTTACAACGCCTAAACAACAACTAAATTGAAATATCGATTTTCGTTTAAACTGCCCGCATAAAATATTGGTCCTATGATCTTGTTGGTTAATATCCCACACCAAACATTTATAGAAGATCAACCAGATTTTTTAATTTCTTCTATGGCATGGGGATTTTCTTCCGCCCAGTGATGCCGGTTGCGCCTATTAAAATTTGGCGCTGTTGAGAATCCTGCTTCATCAGTCCAACGAATTTAATTAAATAGTTGACCATTTTGAGTCAACAAGTGAGTCATATATCTTGCAAAATTAAAACTATCCTCTTTATTTTAGTGCGTTAATTTTTGACAAGATAGTATTTGAATTTTTTTAACGTTTTCTGAATTTTGTAATATGTTTTTATCGGTTGTTGACAAATTTGGGTTTTCTATAATTAACATATTTATGTATAAATATCAATGCAAATTATATGTGGGTTACTTGAATGAAACTCAACTTACCCTGAAAATATAGAAGAATATTTAGTTCATCATCGGCATAATTTCCATTTGTCACATGGGTGTGACAGGTGTGATTCACACACCCAGTTTGCTTCCAAAGGACACATTCTGTCTAACTTATTTATATGTAAATGGAAATGAATTTATACATTTTGAGATAACCATTATTATTATTATTATTAATATTAAATAAATTAATTATTATTTATTGACTTACATAGCCACCTTACAAACTGTAGCAACGTTTTGAAATTTTTAAATAAAATAAATTATAATTTGAAAACGGTTCATTTCACAGCTTAAAGTGTAAATGAAAATTTGTAACTTTGTAAATTGTCTATCTAATGACGTATTAATATACGGGTAATATTCGGAAAAACAAAAGTTATATTGCGTTAAAAAGTTTTAGATTGAAGTCCACATTGGTAACACCCTGTACAATGTATTGATATTTTGGTGCAATAGAAATCTTAACGGATAATAATCTGCCAACGTCGCAAATAAGAAAAAAACAATTTACGGTCCATATGCAGTGTTTCAAGCTGCATTCCATGAGCTAATGAAAAATGGGTAGTTCTATTTAAAAAAATACACTTTGATCTTGCCTCGCTTTTCTGAGACACTCTGTATCATACGAGATATTTTTAAAGTGTGCGCACTTTGTGCGTCAACAACTTTTATATGAAACTGTTTTTCGAAGGTTCAACACAATCGGAAATAATTGACTCTATCGCACTAAAAAACCAGCCTGTAGGTGATGAATAGTAAAGGGCCAAGAACTGTACCCTGTGGCATGCCAATCTGTATTTTAATTTGATCACTCTGAGTTTCACCAATCTTAATAATTTGCTTTCTGTCACTCAGGTAGCTTGAAAATATACCCAAGGCAAGCCCACGCACCCCATGGCAATTTAGAACATTCAAAAGTGTTGAATGAGGTACCGTATGGAATGCTTTAGCAAGGTCTAAGAAAACAGCCAAACAGTTGGTTCTGCTATCTAGACAATTTGTGACCTCTCTAGTAAATTCTAATATAGGGTCTGGTAGTACTCTGGTTCTCGCGAAAGCCGAATTGATTATCAGACAGTAATTTATTTGAATTGAGACATTTGTCTAGTCTATGATTAAGGCATTTTTCAAAAAATGTTGGAAAATTATTAATTACGCTGATGGGGCGGTAGTTATTAATAAGATGCGGATTACTACATTTATAAACTGGAGTAATTATGACTGTTTTAAAATAAGAAGGCACTGAGCCTGTTTTAAAAGATAAGTTTATAATTTGTTTTAGTGGTTCAATAAGGTATAAATAAAATTTCTTCACTAACATCGAGTTGATTTGATGCCTGCAGCACAATTGTCTTTGTGCACAATTGTTCTTGATTGAGCTGATGTGGTGTATAATTTCATTATCGCCTACCGGAGTCCAAAACATAGATGATGTAGAACCGTATTGGAGTTTGAATCTATTTATTGGCTTATTTATTTTATTAAGCATTTTAATATGTATGTCACCAAAATATTCGTAACAATAATTGGCTAGATCTTTACTATTAGAAAATGGTTTAAGCTTATCATTTTTTATTTGTAGGTCATTTTTTATTTTTGGTTTATTTTGATCAGTAGCCTCAGAAATTATTTTATAAACTTTATGTCTTTAGAATCAACATTTATTTTGTTTTTGTCATGTTTAGTTTTTTTTATTAATTTATTTAGTAAATTTCTATAATTTTTATATAGTGTTCTATTATGTGCATCATGCTTCAATAAAAGTTTCTTTTTCAAGGCGTCGCTTGTTTTTACCGAATTTATTATACCGTTCGTTATCCATGGTTTAAGCTTTCTTTTTTTTTTATAAGTGATTTCTTTTTCAGTAGAATTTTTTTTATGTTGGTTAAAATATCAGAAAATTTAGAAGCAGCAATTTCTACATCCATGCTATTAGTTACGCTATGCCAATCAGTATTGTTAATTAGATTTTCAAAACTATGTAAATTAAGCTTTTTAACAGTTCTAGTTACAGTTTTGGGTTTAGAAGTAGTTGTTTAGTTTTGTTTGCTTATATTAAGGACTGTAGGAAAGTGGTCTGTTATGTCTGCTTCCATAATAAAGGTTTCAATTTTGTATTTATTTTTTATGTTGGTTTTAGTAAATAAATATATGATCTATCCATGAAACAGAATCTGTAGTAATCTTTAATACGTGTATAACCATTTATCAGTCATTCAAAGCCATATGCACTCAACAAGGATCTATACAGGGTGGCCATTTTTTGAATCTTTGTATGTGTAACTTCTACATTTTTAATGAGAAAATTGGGCAGAATTCGATTGCCCATTCGTTACCGTTTTCAAAATTTAGGTACCCGACTTGGTTCCTGAAATATCCCGAAAAGGCAAGAAATCAACACTTTTTAATTATCATATAATTCGTAAACTGCTTGAATTAGAAAAAAAAGTTAAAATTATCTTTGTAGAACTTTTTGCGCTGAATTCAATAAACTAGCACTCGTTGTCATAGTCAACTTAATTTACGAGATAAAAAATAAACTTGTGTTTTTTTAAATGGTAATCATAGCTGTGGGTCTTTTAAAATCAAATTTTTTTCTGAATTTAAGAATGTAACTGTTTGTATGTTTTTCTCTTTTTATTGCTGTAAAACTTCAAAAGAAGATAAAAAATCTGTAGTAGGCTATGGAAACAAGAACTGTATTATCACACAAAGCACAAAACATTGCACACCATTTTTAACATTTATTGCCACATTTGAAGTTCATAGTATTGGCCTAATAAATATTGTTTTTGCTTCATCCTTCATTTATTTAATTTTCAGAAAATTTTTAAATGTAGAAAATTTGCTCTGAATCATCATGTAGAGTTAATTATTCATAGTAAAAATATTATTTGAAGAGTTTCGAGTTTTAAATTAGGTTCCACTAAAAAGAGTATTTCACTAAAACTGTCTAACGTCTCAACCTATCGATAATTTAGTTATTACATAAGGGAATGCCAGCACACACCTCGGTCCCTGAGATGTCCCATGGACGGCATAACAGGATATAGGCCTAAGTCCCTCGGACACCTCGGGACGTGTTTGGGTCATGTATTGGATGATCCCGTAAAGGTCATTTGGGACATCACTGGGATTATAGACGGGTCGTTTCGAGGATATCTGCGAAACGTTCTTAGGTTAATAGTCAACCGTCAAATTATTGCTAGATTTTCTTTCTAAAATTCATTTTTCAAACTCTCAACTTTCGAAAAACGTTTAAGGCTGCTTTATAAATTGGAAAATTTAGGGTGGAAGCTATTAAAAAAAAAAACAAAATACTGAACCAATAACCTCTACTTAAAATAAACAAAATACGTTTAAGTATTACAAACTAAACTTATTTTTGCTATGAATCGAAATTTGCCCTTCTGTCCGAA